ATTTTTATTAAAAATAGATTCCTCTCTTATACAAGACATCCCCCACCACAGTTTCCCCTCCCTCCAGGCCTCCCACCTGCCCTACCTTCCCTCTCCCCCAGATCCACTCTCCCTGTTTTTTCTTCAGAAAAGAACAGGCCTCCAAGAATCAGCAACCAAACATGACAAAACAAGATACAATAAGACAAGGCAAAAGCCCTCTTGTAGAGGTTGGACAAGGAAACCCAACAGGAAGAAAAGGGTCCCAAGAGCAGGCAAAAGAGTCCGAGACACACCGGCTCCCACTGTTAGGAGTGCCACACAAACACCAAGCTATGAGCTGTTTGTGGGGCCCTTGGCAATGGGACCAGGACTTATCCCAGGCACATGAACTGGCTTCTTAGAGCCCATTCCCTATGGTGGGATACCTTGCTCAGCCTTGATGCAGGGGGGAGGGGCTTAGTCCTGTCCAAACTTGTTTACACCAGCCTATGTTAACTCCTCAAGGGAGGCCTTACCCTCTATGAGGAATGGATGGAGGGGGGAGAGGGGAGTGGGAGAAGAGGAAGGAGGGAGAACTGTGGTTGGAATGTAAAATGGGAAAAAATTTAATAAATATAAATAAAGAAAGAAAACACCAAGCTTACAGTCATAACATACATGCAGAGGACCTGGTGCAGATCCTTGCTTGCTGCTCCAGTCTTTGTGAGCCCATGTGAGCCCTGCTCAATTGATTCAGTGGGCCATGTTCTCCTGGTATCCTCCATCTCCTTTGACTCCTGCAATCTTTCCACTACTTCTTCTGTGGGATTCCCTGAGCTCCCAATGGAGACCTCCAATTTAGACTCTCTCTCCTTACTAATGTCTGGCTGTGGGTCTCTGCACCCACTCCTATCTGCTGCCAGAGGAAGCCTCTCTGATGATGACTGGACAAGGCGCTAATCTATGAGTACAGCAGAATATCATTAGGAAGCGTTTCATTGGTGTTTGTTTGTTTGTTTTGTTTTGGCAAGTTGTGTTTGGTTCTACCCTATGTCTATGGGCTATCTGGTCTCTGGTTCTTGGTTACTCAAGCACTGTCAGGCATGGGTTCTCTCTCCTAGCATGGACCTCAAGTTAAACCATACATTGGTTGGCCACTCCCACAAGTTTGAGCCACCATTGTCCCAACACATCTTGCAGCCAGGACAGATTGTAGGTCAAAGGTTTTGTGGTTGGGTTGATGTCTGTGTTTCTCTTTTGATAGCCTACAGAGTACCTTCCTGCACCAAAGAGACTAAATGTAGGGGTGAAGGCTTCATGCAGGCACCAGCTCCACCTCTCTATATTCAGTGAGTTATGTGGATGTTATCCTCAGTACTGGGGCCCTGTTGTGAGCTTGCAGAGAAAGATTTTCTGTCCTAGCATCAGCCTGGGTTGTTTGGGGGTCTCCATGGGATCCCCTCGGCCAACAACTCAACCAAATACAACCCAATCACACCACTGGAAGCCTTGCATGGCTACAAAAGATAGCCAGTTCAGAATCCTTATCCTCCATTACTAAGAGTCCTCACTAGGGTAACCCTCATAGATTCCAGGAAGTTTCCGAGGCACTAGGTTTCCATGCTACTCTCAAGATGCCTCCCAATTCCTGCTGTCTCCTTGAACTCTCTCCCTCTATCCCATCCCCCTACCTGATCCCCCTGACTCCTGTCTCGACCCACCCCCAGTCCACCCATAAAATCTATTCTATTTCCCCTTCCCAGGGAGATTCATGCATTCCACCTATAGCCATCCTCTTGACCTAACCTCTCTGGTTCTAGGATTGTAACTTGATTATCATTTGTCTAATGGCTAATATCAACTTATAAGTGAGTATGTACCAAATTTGTCTTTTGCGTCTGGGTTACCTCACTCAGGATGATTTTTTTCTAGTTCCATCCATTTGCTTGAAAATTTCATGATGTCACTTTTTTTTTTTAAATAGCTGAGTAATACTCCAGTGTGTAAATATATCTCATTTTCTTTATCCATTCTTCTGTTGGGGGACACCTAGGTTGTTTCTAGTTTCTGGCTATTATAAATAAAGCTGCAATGAACATTACTGAACAAGTGTCCTTGTGGTAGGGTGGAGCATCCTTTGGATATATGCCCAAGAGTGGTATAGGTTGGTCTTGAGGTAGATTGATTCCCAATTTTCTGAAGAATTGCCATTTGCTTTCCATAGTGGCTGTACAAGTTTGCACTCTGCCAGCAATGCAAGAGTATTCCCCTTGCTCCACATTCTCACCAGCATGAGCTGTCACTTATGTTTTTGATCTTAGCCATTCTGAGAGGTGTAAGATAGAATCTCAAAGCAGTTTTTATTTGCATTTCCCTGGTAGCTAAGGATGTTGAATATTTCTTTAAATGTTTATCAGCCATTTGAGATTCCTCTACTAAAAATTCTTTTTTTAGCTCTGTACCCCATTTTTTAATTGGATTATTTGTTTTTGTTTTTGTTTTGATGTCTAGTTTCTTGAGGTCTTTATTTTGGAGATCTGCCTTCTATCAGATGTGGAGTTGGTAAAGGCCTTTTCCCATTCTGTAGGCTGCTGTTTTGTGCTATTGATGGCCTCCTTTGCCTTACAGAAGCTTCTCAGTTTCATGAGGTCCCATTTATTAACTGTTGATCTTAGTGCCTGTGCTATTGGTGTTCTGTTCAGGAAGTTGTCTCCTGGGCCAATGCACTCAAGGCTATCCCTACTTTCTCTTCTATCGGGTTCAGTGTATCTGGTTTTATGTTGAGGTCTTTGATCAATTTGAACTTAAGTTTTGTATGGGGTGATAAATATGGATCTACTTGCATTCTTCTACATGCAGACATCCAGCTTGACCAGCACCATTTGTTGAAGATGCTGTCTTTTTTCCAGTGTGTATTTATGGCTTCTTTATAAAAAAAAATCTAGTGTCCATAGGTATGTGAATTTATGTCTGAGTCTTCAATTGAATTCCATTGATCAAAGTTTCTGTTTTTATGCCAACACCATGTGGTTTTTATTACTTATAGCTAGCTCTGTAGTACAACTTGAAATCAGGGATGGTGAGACCTCCAATATTTCTTTTATTGTTCAGGATTGTTTTGCTGTCCTGGGTTTTTTATTTGTTTGTTTGTTTGTTTCCTCTTGAAGGTAAGAATTGTCCTTTCAAGGTCTGTAAAGAATTATGTTGGGCATTGAATCTGTAGGTTGCTTTTGGTAGGGTAGCCATTTTTACAATGTTAATCCTACTAATGCATGAGCATGGGGGATCTTTTCATCTTCTGATATCCTCTTCAGTTTCCTTCTTCAAAGACTTGAAGTTCCTGTCATACAGGTCTTTCATTTGTTTGGTTAGAGTTACCCCAAGATATTTTATAATATTTGAGGCTATTGTGAAGGATGTTGTTTCCAAGATTTCTATCTCAGTCTGTTTGTCATTTGTATATAGGAAGGCTACTGACATTTGTGAGTTAATCTTGTTTCCAGCTACTTTGCTGAAAGTGTTTATCAGCTGATGAAATTCCTTGATGGAATTTTGGGGGTCACTTATGTATATTATCATATCACCTGCAAATAAAGATTCTTTGACTTCTTCCTTTCCAATTGTAACCCCTTGATCTCAAGTGACCTGTGGTTGAGAAGGGGTTGTCCACCTAATTTGGGAGCTGGGACACAGCAACAACAGGGGTCTGTGGGATCCACTGGAGGTGTGGACACAGGGGAGCGGAGGCTGCAGCTGGTGATCTGTTGCAGTGCTAGGGATGACCCTGTGGATTGGGTCTGGAGGAACAGAGCTTGTCATGGTGTTTTATCACAACAATAGACACATTCATTATGCAAGTGTAACAGGAGGGTGTGATGAACCATGCATGCACGAAATAGCATAGTAGAGGATATTGTCACAGAGGAAAGTGGAGCTGACCCAGGAGAATGAATTCACTCAAAGTTTATGGAATGCACTCAGAGTGCAGGAATGGGAATGGGGGTTTGCACACACACACACAGGAATGGGAATGGGGGATTGCACACACACACACACACACACACACACACACACACACAGAGAGAGAGAGAGAGAGAGAGAGAGACAGAGAGAGATAGACAGACAGAGAGACAGAGAAAGAGAGAAAGAGAGAGAGAGGAAAGAGGAATGGGGATGGGGGTTGCACACACACACACACACAGAGGAATGGGGATGGGGGAGTGCACACACACACACACACACACACACACACACACACACAGAATTGAACAAAGCCCACAGGTGTGCAAAGACTGACATACCAATGAGTAGAAAGCAGACAGTTCTAACTGGCCCATTTGGAACACCACCACTTAGAAGAGGGGATATAGCAGCTAAGAAATACAGAGACAATGAAAGAAGTTCTTTTTTGTTTTGTATTGAGACAGAGTCTCAAGAACTCTCTAAGGAGCCAAGACTGGCCTCAAACTCCTGATCTTCCTGCTCCAGCCGCCTAAATGCTGGGATTACAGGTGTGCACCACCATGCCTGGCTTAAATGAGATCTTGACTGCCATACTAAGTGCTTACATCCAGTCCTGTAGATAAAGGGGAGCTACCAGTGGTCTTTAAGCAGATGAAAGATCCCTTTGTGGCCATAAGGCTACATGACTTATCTGTTCTAAAATGTATTTGTTCCACAACTTACCCAACCCAGGATCCTTCTCAGGGTACACCCCTATCAAGGCTATCTTATTGCATTGTGTTATAAACATGCATGTGTGTTCATACACACATCCAGCTCACCCCCTAGTCTGTGGGAAACAGAGATGAGAAGTCATATGCAGGTCATATCTATATCTACAACGTATTTTTGCTAAATTCAATGCAGGATCCCTGGATGGGTACATAGATTGGTCAACGAATGGGTAAAGGCATGGATGAATGGGTAACATTGGAGAAATTAAGCAAGACAATAAGCAAGCCTGGAAACACTGGGTAGAACTGACGGGTGAGGAAGTAAAACGAATTAAAGGAACTCTAAATGTTGATTCACTGCAGATGCGAACAAAGCAGGTCCCAGTCCTGTGGGCATTCGTCCTCCTGTGGAATTTCTACATCTCCTCCTCCCAGACTGTTTACCCTGGAATCAAGGCAAGGATCACCCAGCGTGCACTAGACTATGGTGAGTTGGATACATTCAGAAGTCAGGCTATAAATGCCCTAGATGTGGTCTGTGTTCCAAACCAGCAGTTGTGAACTGGGTCTGAGCTAAAAATCTCAGTGGGGTTACCTAACCTCTTATGAAAATGTACCCGACACCCTGGGAAAAAAGTGTTACTCACAAAATAGACATCCTGGTGGAAGGCATATTTAAACATACAGATATTCTCTCTCTCTTCTCCCCCATCCCACCACATATATCAAGGTTCTAAATAATTCATTAGAAAGAGTATAGTGGCCTATGCCTTTAATCCCAGCACTCCAGACATAGAGGAAGGAGAATCTCTGTGGCTTTGAGGACAGCCTGGTCCACATAGAACCTTCTAGGCCAACCTGAGATACATAGGGAGACCCTGTCTCAAAGGGAGGAAACCTAGGATCCTCTAAATCATACACAAAATTCATTGTGGGTCAGTGGGCTTTATTCTTAAGAGGCTCCATCACATTTATCAGATGTTCAAAGGGATCTTAGACTGAGAGACCAGCAGTCACTGCTTTTAGAGGGTCTTTGCAAGGCTAGAAACAAAAACATTAGAATATGATTTTATCAAGCTCACTTGAGGTCAGGTGCAGAGGATCTTGGCTGCAAAATCAAAATATATGCTGGGCTGTGATGGCTCGTGCCTTTAATCCCAGCACTAAGAGGCAGAGGCAGGTGGATCTCTTGAGTTTGAGGCCAGCCTGGTCTACAGAGTGAGTTCTGGGAGAGCCAGGGCTACACAGTGAAACCCTATCATGAAAAACAAAACAAAAAGAAATCAAAATATATGGGCCTATTTTTTTCCTGTCATATTTTGCCTCAGATTAGCTGAATATAGATCGCCAGATCTCTGCCAATTCTTGTTAACAAGAGCAACCAATCCAAGCACTATTAGTCTAACCAAGAAATCCCTAAATCTAACCAAGATTGACTCTCATGTTATATCAGAAAAGAAATAAATGAAATAAAGGGAGGGGGAGGAAAGGAAGGGAGAGACGAGCTGATTTGGGCAACTCTTTCTCTTTTCCCCTGTAGCTCATGGGGCACAAAGAGTCTAAAATTAAACCATTATGTATAACTGCTATGTGGATAATATTATATATATAAACAGGCACTAGGGATATGAGTGCATATTCATGTGAATATCTAGTTCCTATATTGATATGTCTGTGTGTTTGGAAAGTGTATGTCAGAAATAGGTATCTTGTAAAAGTATTAAAGTGGTTTTTCCACCTTGTAAGTCAGAGCACTTAATAGATCTGAGGTCACCTGCATGGCATAGGTATCAGTTCTACCCTTTTGCTCAATGCATGGCCTTGGGCAGGAAGGTTGTCTCATCTGGAGAAGTAGTGATGAGTAGTTGGTCCCTACATCTTAACTGATAGGAGGACCAAATGAGCTCACCTGTGGAAATGCAGGAAGGAACCGTGGAGATGAGAAGGCACTGGAGTCAGAATCGTCCCAGCATCTACCATGCCAGGCTATGAATGTGCTTCACGGGCCTTATGTAGAAAGTATTCCAATATGAGCCGTTTCACAGAAAGGGACCTTGCAGTGTCGGGGGGGCTTGTGACAGCAGAAGGCTAAGGCAAGGCACATTCAGCTCTAGTTTTAGTCAGCTTCCCGTCACCACGACAAAACACCTGAATAAAACAACTTAAGAAAAGGTATGTTTGGCCCACAATTCCATAAACTACAGCCCTTAGTCCTGCTGCTTGATGGTTAATTCCAGGCCTGGGTGAGGCAGAGCATCCTGGCAGGGATTGTGCAGGGTAAAGCAAAGTTGCTCATCTCAGGACTGTTGAGGAGCAGAAAGAGAGGACATGGCTACAAACAACACATTCCCTTCAAGGGCATTCCTTCGATGACTTACTCCCTCCACCTAGACCCTACCTCCTTAAATTCCCACCACTTCCCAATACCCATTAAACTACGACTTCATCAATGGATTAACCCTTGGATGGAGTTAGATCCCTCATCATCCAGTTGCCTCTCATTGCCCCGCCCTCTAAACACTACTGCACTGGGGCCACGCCTTCACCATGGGAGCGTTGAAGAAATACTTTTCTCTTTTTTCTTTTTTATTTACATTTTTGTATTTTTTTTTTTTTAGTACTGGAATTGGAACCCGGGGCCTCATACATGCAACACAAGCATTCTACCAACTGATCTGTATCTCTAGCCCCTGGATATACTTTATAAAATGTTTCATTAGCATATGTTAACCATATGCAATTAATATGAAATCTCATGTTTCATTTTGACATTTTCATATACATATGCAATATATTTTGATTGTATTCACCCCCTTGTTACCTTCCCTTCTTGCCCTCCTAATACCACTAAATCCCCTTCCTCTTCCTCCCTAGCCCCCTTTCGTGTGTGTGTGTGTGTGTGTGTGTGTGTGTGTGTGTGTGTGTGTGTGTGTGTTAGGGTTGGTCACAGAAGCATAGGCATCTTGTCAGCGACTACACCACAGATGGAAGTGTCCCCATCAGTCATTAACTGCATCAATCCTCAGGGAAGGATGGTGCCCTCTGAGCACTCCCACTTCCACTGCAGGGTGTCAACAAGCACATGTCTAATGTAGGCAATCACAGCTGCCGTGAGTTACTTCATGTCCCGAAGTCAGAGCTCCACACCAGTCTGGGGCCCTCCTCTCCATTCTTCCCCTCCACACCACATCTGGGGCCCTCCCCTCCACACCACATCTGGGGCCCTCCTCTCCATTCTTCCCCTTCTTTTGTGGTGTTCCCTGAGCACTGGAGAGAGGTGATACAGATATCTCATTTATGACTGGGCATTCAACAGTCTCTTATTCTCGGTACTTTGACTAGTTACGAGTCTGAAGTCACTACTTACCGTTTTAAAAAGAAGGTTTTCTGACCAAGGCTGACAGCAGTACTAATCCATGTGAATAAACATAGCTGTTTAGAAGGTCATTTGATGGGCATGTCACGTCCATTTAGCAAAACAACTTTCCTAGCCATGGGGTTTTGATCAGGCTCACAGTATGACATGTGAACATCCCCTTGTAAGCCAAGTAGGAAATCCAGTCAGAAAGGGGTTAGTTACCCCAGAACAGAGTTGCTACAATTGCACCAGTAGGCTAATCTTACCTGATCGGTTGGTATTGTTTCACACAGCGTTCACAGTAAGACTGGTGGAAATTCACCCTAGCAGCCTGTGAAGCGCCTTCTGGCACTAGCCAACAGGGAGGAAGCTTCTCACCAAGCTTTAGCTTGGTTTCTCTATGTCCTGACCAAGGCATGCAGTGTCTTCAGCAACGGGGTCTCACTATCTAGTTCTGTGAGCACTTAAGAGCAGTAACAATAGTCTGTATGGTTTTGGAAAACTTGGGAACCTCCCCAACCAAAAATGGAGAAATATTTCCAAACAGGTAAGCTCTGCCTCACCCTGCAACGTATTGTCATATTTCTGTTCCTTGTGCCTCAAAGCCCTGCCTTGTGGTGGTATTGTGTTCCCCAAAATATTGTGCACTCTAATAAACTTATCTGGGGTCAGAGAACAGAACAGCCACAATATTAAACATAGAGGATAGGCAGTGGTAGCACACACCTTTGATCCTATCACTTGGGAGGCAGAGATCCATCTGGATCTCTGTGAGTTTAAAGCCACACTGGAAACAGCCAGGCATGGTGACTCACACCTTTAATCCCAGGAAGTGAGCCTTTAATCCCAGGAAGTGAGCCTTTAATCCCAGGAAGTGATGGCAGAAAACAGAAAGGTATAAAAGGCGTGAAAACCAGGAACTAGCCGGTTAAGCTTTCAGGCTTTCAAGAAACAGTTCAGCTGAGATCCATTTGGATGAGGACTCAGCTTCCAGTCTAAGGAAACAGGATCAGCTGAGGAACTGGAGAGGCGAGGAAGCTGTGGCTTGTTCTGCTTCTCTGATCTTCCAGCATTCACCCCAATAACTGGCCCTGGGTTTGTTTTTATTAATAAGACCTTCTAAGATTCATGCTACATTGCCTGATGACATTTGCTGGCTGTGGGCGCCCTGACTCACTCTGAGCCTAGGCTGCCTCATGTGTGAAGTGGGGGCATGGCCAATATCACTGAATTGTTTTGAGACCTGAAGGAGAGAACCTATGTAGAGAGGACAGTCTGGACACATACAGGCACTCCATACAAACTAACTATTACTGATTCAGCCTCACCAACTATACACCTCTATATTTTTATAGAACGTAATTTGCTGTGCTCATTATTAGTAGTATCTGCAGGGTGTGTCAAAGAGGAAATAGCCATAGTGGTACCCACCTCTCAACCGTGGTAGGAAATGAGCGAATTGCCGTGTCTGAAGCACTGGGAACAGGACCTGGTGAAACGAAATGCCTAGCAAATATTAGTGATAGTCCTTCTCACATGTGTGAACAGATCCCTTCCTGGTCACTATCATTCCCATGTCACAGATGAGGGAAGGGAGTGAGTGACACAGAGGCTGAGTCACACAAGCTAGTGAGTGACAGTGCCGGGCTCAAGCCTAAGCTCAATGCTACCTTTGGTTCTTATCTTCACTTCCTTCATACTCTGTCTCCATGACAACAGTATCCACATCATCTTATAGACTATGGTCTGTTCCTCCTCTCCCGTGGGGATAGAACAACTGGAATGAACTTGAACACAAAGTAAAGGAGAAAGGCAAAGTTGCATTCATTTGCTTTAAAGTTTTTATTACATTTATTACTGTGTGTGTGCGCGCACACACACACACACATACATGTTGGTCTATGTGCCATAATGCACATGAGAAGGCCAGAGGACAACTTGCTCACTCCTTATACTGTGTGGATTCTGAGGATCAAACCCATGTCAACAGCTTGGCATCAAGCCTCTCGACCTGCTGAGCCATTTAGCCAGCCCTGGAAGTTACTTTTACCAAGATCTCCCCCCACGTACCACAAGCTCAGAGAAATGTGTCCTGGGATGCTTCCTTACAAAGAAATTAGTGGGTTATTCCTGAACAAATCAGAAGCAGCGATTAGTCACTTCTTCTAAGTTTGGGGATCCTTTGGAGAATCTGATGTGACTCCTTCCCACTGAAAAATGAAACGCAGCAAGCACGCATCCACTCACTGCCTGTTGTTAGTGTTTCAGTGGTTCCGCGGGTCCCTCAGCCTTGTGAACCCTTCCCTAAAACATCTGCGTTCAAATAATCTGGAAAGACAGAAGAACGAAAACAACTTTGTGAAGCTGGCCGCAAGCTAGATTCTGGAGCCAAACTGCTTAGAATCTGGCTCATAGATCTCCAGAACCCATACTTTCCTAGGCAAAAATTAATCTTGTTCACATCTGCAGGATGTGCCTGGCGACAGCTGTAGCATCCTTTGAAGAATATCTTTCATTGTTTCCATGACAACCCTGGCCACATAATGAAAACTCTTCCTCATGTTAGCCCTGTGCTCTCAGGCAAGTTCCTCCACCTCTCCGAGGACTAGAGTTTCCTTATGTGAAGCAGAGACAACAATACCCCCTTTGCAGGGGTGCTGTTTTCTTACTTAGCATCAGGTCTTACTCAATGCTGCATCTCTAGGGTTAGGCATATTACGTCACTGTCATCTTCCTCGTGTAAACGGACACTTCCTGCTTCCCTCACAGGTGTTCAAGTTGGGATGAAGGTGATGGAGGACATGGCAAAGGAAATTGTCATCCCAGATTTGAAAGGTTCTGAGTCTCTCGAGTTTCTGAAGATTGACTACGTGAAGTACAACTTTTCAAAGTAAGAGAGGAGAGTGTGTTGTCTTACATCACAAGGGCCTTAAAACCAGTGGAGAAATCTATGATCCTGCTTCACCATCTAAGTTCTGACTTCTAGTCCCAAGTTTGCCTCATGACAGCCACTCTGGTTCCAAGGATCTGGTGTATACTTCGTGTAGCTGGAAGTGGGAAAAGACACTGGGAAAGCCTCTTAGAAAGTCGGTGAATTTTCTCATTTGGTTTTGTCTGAGGCTCTAACCTAACCACATTCCATCTACACAACAATGGACAGAGCTTAGTCACAGTTCAGGGATTTTTAGGGAAGGGGAAATGGGGTTTCAGATGGCAACTGGGATCCAGGAAGATCCCCAAGGGAAGGGGAGGATATGTGTGCCAAACTGGAGATCAATCTTAAAGGGCAGAGGAGAACCCGTTTTCCTAAGGAGTCATTGTGATTCATCATTTGCCCCAATGCTTTTTCAGTTGCCTATCGCTCTAGCCCTTTGCAGTAATAATCTCCCTGACTTAATGACAACATTATATAAAATCAGCAGATGTCTTTGTTGCAAAGGAGATGGCACAGAGAAAGTCCCTTGCAAATCTCCTCACCTACAGAAAGCCAGCTGTTCAACATGTGTTTATTGAGCAGCTACCTCACACAGGACTTTGTTCTAGACACAGGAACATTACAGTGAATATAGGTATAAGTCGTTGCCCTTGACATTCTGCGGGAGCGATTAGCATTACATATATATTTGCAAAGACAACCATTTAGCTACAATGGTAATGACACAACAGAGAAGTACAGGGAGAGCTATATAATAACAAATGCTAGTGAAGATGAGGGGAAATTGGCATTCTTGTGTTGCTGGCATAAGTAGTTAGATCAATATAATTTTAATCCTATGCTGTACAAACCGTAAACACTGATCATTCATGGATACTGAGCACTTGAAATGTGACTTATGTACCAGAGAAACTATGTTTTTATTTACTTAGTTTTACTTTACTTTAAATAAAAAAGCTGACTCTTAGCCAACCACAGTGGTGCATGCTTATAATTCCAGGACTATATAACCAGGTGTGGTGGCACACACCTGTACTTCTAGCACTTGGGAGGTGGAGGCAGGAAGATCAGGAGTTCAAGATCACCTTAGCCAAGTGTCAAATTCAAGAGCAAAACTGATACACAAAAGACCAACGAATAAATGCATAGACAAGTTCAGCATTGCTGGTTGTCTGGGGGAACACATATCAGTGCACACTGAGGATGGATTTCCCCCCCTCAGTTAGCCGGGTCTAGAGACCTTCTAAGAGACATGCCCAGAGGTTTTCATCCCAGCTGATACTAGATCATATCAAATTGAAAATCAACATTAACCATCGCAGTATACATAGTTTTCGACCCAGTAATTCCCCTTCTCAGTATCCTCCCTGGGAAAGTATAGTCCATAAGTAATATGTACAAGGATGTTCCCTGTGACGTTATTTATATAATGGAAACAGCCTAGAGAAGGATTTTGGTGTATTCTGTAGCAGCTATAAAGAATAGACTAGCAAGACGTGGTGGCACACACCTTCAATCCCAGCACTCAGAAGGCTGAAGCAGGTCTACACAGTGAGTTCCAGGACAGCCATGGCTACATAGAGAGACCCTGGCTTGGGGAGTGGAGGGAGGAATGGGTTAGACCGATGGGTGTCATGTGAACATATCTCTAAAGCACTGCTGTTCTGAATCTCTGCTATTCTCTTCTCACAGTGGGACTCGGGGTGTATGGTAGACAGGCAGGAGACAGTGAACAGGAAGGGAAACAGCAGCTTCGTTCATCAGCTAGCACATGTATGTTCTAGACGCCCCAGTCTCAGCTCAGAGCAGCGCCTTTCTCCTGAGCAGCAATTAGGTGAGGATGACCTCATTTCCACGTCCTCTTCCCACCCTCCCTGTGGGTAGCACTTCTTTTTAAACCATTGACTGAAAGAGGAGAATCACCTTGCTCAAGGTTGTGTAACTAGTACCAACCTTGACTCCAGTTCAAGTGCTCATCGTACAATAGACAAGTGGCATGACCCAGTGATTAGGAGGAGTCTGAAGTCAGATTGCAGAGGATTCCAGATCTGGTTCTACCACTGATGTATGACTTCACAGGCTTTTTTTATCTTCTCATCTCTGAGCTGGAGCTTGCACATACTCCAGAATCCTACAGGGATCCTGGGAAGACCAAGGTGAGCTGTGATGTCTAGTGGTTTCCAAGAGGCCGGGCAGTTGGGAATCACTCGAATCACAATACTTTGCCATTGTGCATGTAGTCTCCATCTATCGTCTCCATGGATTACAGGCAAGCCCACTGCTTTACAGGTTCCTGGGACAATCTGTTTACAGCTCAGGGAATCTTACAGGAAGCCAACTCTTTTTAGCTCCATACAGGTGCACCTGGCCCCAGAAGGAGGATGGCGTGTTTTGTTGTCCCAGTGAATGGAAGTGAGGGATACAGTTGGCACATGTATCAAATGCCTGACAGTGTCCATGGACAGTCCCTGAAAACACAGCTGCTTCATTAACACCTGATGTCCTCCCCTTTAAGAAACACTGAAACTAGTATTAGGAAAAAAAAAAAGAAAGAAAAAAAAGAAAGAAAGAAAAGGAAAAAACCATAGTAGCAGTGTTTGTAGATGTTATTCCCTTTAAGAAATACTATAACTGATATATATGTTTAAAAACATAATGGCAATGTTGTACTTATTTTTGTTTTTAAAGAAACCCAAAGGGCTGGGGACATGGCTCAGTGAACCAGAATACTTGCTACAAAAGCCTGAGACCTGATTCAGATCTCACGCACCCACATAAAGAGCAGGCTGGGCTTTATAGACCCAGGGACTGCAGGCACCAGAGACAGGAGGACCACTTTGCTGGCCACCAGCCTACCTCCAAGTCTCCAGGGAACAAGATGGAGGGTGGCAGAACAGAACACCTGAGTCCTCCTCTGGCCTCGTGTGGACACACACATACACACACACATACACACACATAAACACACACATACACACACACACACACACACACACACACACACACACACACACACACACACACCAAAAGGAAAAAGAAATTTGAGAAGTGGATTATTTGATTATTTACAAATTTAGTTCTGAACTTGATTGCCTCCTCCCTCAACTGCTTCTTGCTAAGTTAAGAGGACTCATGAGGCCACACCCAGACACCCCACTAGAGAACTGGGAGACCCCTTCTGCAGGAATTTATAATCTCAGGGCAGCTCCAGCTTCCAATTCTGCTTGCCTCAGCGATGCCCAGAAGTGTTGCCTTAACTTTCCTGTTTCCTATTTTACAGCATAAAAATCAACGCCTTTTCACTGCCAAATACCTCACTGGCCTTTGTGCCTGGGGTAGGAATTAGAGCACTGAGCAACCACGGCACTGCCAACATCAGCGCCAACTGGGAAGTCAGGGCTCCGCTTTTGTGAGTATCCCGCTGACGTCACCGCTGTTCTGGGGAAAACGCAGACAATTCGCTGCTGTATTCAGTGCAGGCTTCTTTTCTCTGTATCCGTACTTTCTCAAGAGCATTACCTGGTGAGAGTTGACTCAGGAAACTCTTGCTTGGAAGGGAGGTAGAGGAAAGGCACCCTCCCATAGAAGCAGAGCAACCGAGCATTCTAGATTCCCTAAGAGCTGAGCTGGGCATGGTGGCGCACTCCTTTAATTCTAGCACTAGGGAGGCAGAACCAGGAAGATCTCCATGAGTTTGAGGACAGCCTGGTCTAGAGTGAGGATAGCCAGAACTACACAGTGAGACTCTGTCTCAAAAATCACGAAAGAAAGAAAGGAAGGAAGGAAGAAAGAAAGAAAGAAAGAAAGAAAGAAAGAAAGAAAGAAAGAAAGAAAGAAAGAAAGAAAGAAAGAAAGAAGAAAGAAAGAAAAAGAAAGAAGGGATGGAGGGAGGGAGGGAGGGAGGAAGGAAGGAAGGAAGGGAAGAAAGAAAGAGGAAGAAGGAAGAAAGGAAAAAAGAAAGAAAAGAAAAGAAATCCTAAGAACTAGAGGCCCAGCTGGGAGAGAAATTCCCATATCTTCCACATTTTAGGTCCACTAACCTGAACCAGATGTTTAGTGCATTTCTCCATCTACAGGGTCGGAGCTTCCTGTCTCATACAGAGGTTGGAGGATGGTAGTTAGCTTGAGCCCCACTCTTCCCCAGTCAAAAGGTCTCTGTACCCTCAAAGAGGAGAAAATAAGGTTGAAGCCGGGTGTGCTGGTTCAATGCCTGTAATTCAAATACTTTGAGAGGCTGCGGCAAGAAGACTGTGGCTAGTTGGAGGCCAGCTTGGGCTACATAGTGAGTTCTTGGCCATCTGGGTTACAGAATGAGATCATGTGTGAGAGAGTAGAAAAAGAAAGAAAGAAAGGAGAGGAGGAAGGGGAGGAAGGAAAGAAGAACAGAAAGAAAGGAGCTGGGTTGGAGAGAGTGCTCAGTGGTTAAGAGCACTGGCTGCTCTTGCAGAGGACCCGAGTTCAGTTCCCAGCATCCACATAGTGGCTCACAACTGCCTGTAACTGCTATTCCATGGACTCTGGTGTCTCTTAGGCTCCTGCATGCACATGGTTGGAATAAATAAATAAAAAGAAAAGAAGAGGAAGAAAGGAGAAGGGAAGGAGAAGGGAAGGAGGGAGAAAGAAAAGTTGGACTCAAGGTATACCTACAAACCAGCAAACCAACTTCTATGGACAAGTCACGGACCCAGTGTGATGGTTACGTCTGTCTGGGTTGGCACTTCAGAACAACACATCCAACCACTCACTAGGCTATTCTACAACCATTTATTGTCTAGGTATCATTTTCCCAGTCTAATAGATTGCAGACAAACAGCATGTTCCTCCATAAACAACACAGGTTCACATACTTCCTCACTTCCTTGATGATTTAGCAGCCATGTGTTGGGGAATTATTCTGTGTAGGGCCCTGTGCAAAGTCTTGAGTAACACACGCTCCACCGCCTCAAGGCCATATACGGTCTAAACATGATTTCCCCATGTCCACCCCTCCCAGATGTTTACCTGGTGTTCCCTCTCAGGATGACTAAATGGTGCTCGCCATTGTGCCACGTCCAGCACCGGAGCACTGGGCTGGCATAAGCAGTGTCCCCCAGCTGTGCATTTACAGACTCACTTCATTTGGTCAGTAAGCAGTGCTCCTGAGTCTGCTGTAGGTGTTGGGAAATCCGATATGAGCATGACCAAGTCCCTGTCCCCAAAGAGCTTAGCAGCCCCCTCTGCATGTGTGGCCCAGACTCGGGTAACCTTTCCCTTTCTCTCCGAACAGCCAGGATTCGGGAGCTGCTGATCTATTTCTCTCTGGAATCTACTTTACTGGCGTCATTGTCTTCACCCGTAATAACTTCGGTCACCCGGCCCTGGAACTCCAAGACTGTCATGCCCAAGTGAGCCATGCCCGAGTCTCATTTTCTGGAGGCCTCAGGTGAGTGACAGCAGCCTGGTGGAGCCTCGGGCTGCCACTCGGAGAAGTTTCCCACTGGTGTCTTTGTGGTCCCTGGTAAGCTCCCGCTTTCATTTTTCCTAGTGTCCTGTATAACTCCTTTGCCGAGCCCATGGAGAAACCCATTTTGAGGAATTTAAACGAAATGGTGAGTCTTCAGAAGTTAGACAACCACTGTCAAAGGGTATCAGCAGGCCTGTCATACTTTAATAATTTTTATCATAAACATTTATTGAGCACCAACTGTATGCTAAGCACCATGCAAGACAATTTAATTCATACTATTCCATGCAATGTAATAGTTTCTCATGGTTTAAGCACTGTGGCAGGAGACACAGATGAACAAAACTACATCCGCTCTCTCGAGTTTCCCACCACAGGATGGACAAGCATTTTGTTCTTAATGCAAACGCAGCTAGAGTGGGGACTACTGAGAACAAAAGAAACAAATATTAGTTAATTGAGAAAAAAAAGAAAGAAAAGAAAAACCTCAGACTTGTGAAACCAGGGCTGGAATACGTGGTCACATGATGATGAAACTGAGCTGACAGTTTAGAGAACTGGAATATCTCCTGGGAGACATGTTTATTTAGGGAACTGAGGCTTGAAATAGAGGTAAGATGTGGGCAGGTAAGGAATGGGCAGGTGATGACAGGAATTTCCAAGAAACACACTAACAATGCTCTTAGGAGGTGGAGATGGGAGGATCAGAAGTTCAAGGCTATTTACAGCTACATAGCAAGTTTGAAGCTAGCCTGAGCTACATGTGATCTTGTACATGTACAAGATCATACAGAGTCGGAGCTAAGCAGAAGTCTACAGACTCTTTCATTTTCTCCTCACAACTTGATGAGGCAGATGGACTGATCACCCCCATGCTGCAGATGAGGAGACTGATGTCAGACAGTGAAAGGAGATTGCCAATGGTTTCCACTCCAGGGGCCTGGCTGCCTAGCCTCTGCTAAAACCACCACGCTGCATGAGCATCGATGAGCACGTAGCTGACACATCAGTGCTTGTAACTTAGTCGTTTCTCTCCTCTATCTACTGTGCTGGCATTCACCCCCTTCAGAAAGGTAGGAACAGGACTGGGGATGTCTCGCAGGTGGTAAAGAGCTTGCCTAGCATGCATGAAGTCCTGGGCTTGATCTATAGCACCACATAAACTGGATGTGCTGACGCATACTTGTAATCACAGCTCCTGGAAGGTGGAGGAGGCCGTAGTATCATAAGTTCAAGGTCATCTTAGACTGCATTAAAAAAATCCAAATGTCAACATGGGCCACATGAGACCATGTCTCAAGGAAAGGAGAGGGAGAGGGGGCAACAGAGTTCTAAGTGGATCTCTAATCTCATGATCTCTCCAATTAGCCTGGGTGACAGTGAAGGTTCCTCTCATGGGCTCTCCAATTAGCCCAGCAAAAGTGAAGGTTCCAACTGAAGCCACTCCGGGGAGGTCTGAGAGCTGCTGATGCAATGGGAGCTGGTGGCACCCAGGCAGGAAAGACACAACTGCTTTCACAGCAGGTTCCTCAGGTGTGACACCAACACCACGGACAGAGCACATGCCTTGACATGTCCTAGGAGAAAAGCCAAGCTCTTTCATGAGGCTAGTTGGGTGTGGTTTCAGTTGCTATGAAGCTCAGCCAGCACTCAATGAATGACACACTGCCCATACCTGCAAAGGCTGAAGGTCAAGAGCACCAGCTAACTTAAAGGGGCATCGTCAGGGCCACAGGGATTTTGTCTCCTAAGCAGAAGGCTTTTTCAATATGGTAACAATTTTTCAAAAATTCTTTTGGTCCAGCTCTGTCCCATTGTCATCGATCAAGTGGAGGCGTTCAATGTCAACATCAGCGCACTGGAGGGTGAGTCTTGGAACTGCCTCTGGATAGTTCTCTACCCAGCTTCAAACTTTACCCAGGTCTTTTTTTCTAGGCAATAAAGTGCCCATTCATCATTCTGCTTTCCTTCTGCCTAAAAATTAAAATCCCAGGACAAGCCCTATGCACAGCACATGTATTCCTTGGCTACTAACCAACTTTGTTACTGCAGCAGAAGATGGTTCTCAGGGATAAGTGTGCAGAAGAACCCTCCTGGCTCTAATCCAAGCTTTGGCACTAAATCTATCGTCTTGACCAGGTTATCTGCCCAGCCTTCTCTAACTCTTCAGGCGCTGCCTTCAGTATGAAGCAAGCCCACACATGAGGACTCATTCTGTCTCCACCTCTCTCTTACCTTTCCTCCTCAAACAATCAAGCTGCCTCTATTTCCCTTCTCACTCCTTGGCTTTGCTCACACTGCCCACTCTACTGAGAAGAGCCCCCTCTCTCCCTTCATTTATTCCTTTAACAGACCTCTATTGAGCAACCGTTTCTACACCCGTACTTTGCTGGTCCCCACAGACTTTCTACCCCACCTTCTCCTGTCCTTTTCATTTCTCTTTTTGTTAGAGACTCAGCTTATGAGGCCCTCTCTTCCACACCCCACAGCGACACCTCTTCTTGCATGATACTTTACACGGCTCTTTTTGCGTCCCTTCGTCTCTCTTTGCATCCCTTCATCTCTCTTTGCATCCCTTCACCTCTCTTTGCATCCCTTCATCTCTCTTTGCATCCCTTCGTCTCTCTTTGCATCCCTTCGCCTCTCTTTGCATCCCTTCATCTCTCTTTGCATCCCTTCATCTCTCTTTGCATCCCTTCGTCTCTCTTTGCATCCCTTCACCTCTCTTTGCATCCCTTCGTCTCTCTTTGCTCACTGATGGTGTGCAGAGCACTTAGAATCACCTGGGCCCTGGTGCTGGAGACGCACAAAACCTAGGAGACAGACTCCAACCTTCATGGGACTACAGGGAGCAGTAAACAAGCAGGTGAAACCTGTATTTGGGAAATTGTGACTGATAAGAAGAAACAAGGGAGGGGCTGAAGAAGAGTTTCTGTTTCAGACAGGGTGACTAGGAAAGGCACCACTGAGCTGAATGGACTGGGGATGGGCTACTCCCAACCTGGATTGTCTTGGTCGGTTTCTGCGGCTGTGATAGAATACCAGAAGATGGATGGATTATAAACAACAGAAGGGTGCTTGTCTGATGGTCTTGGAAGCTGAAAAGTCCAAGGTTAAGGAGTTACATCTGGTGAGGGTTTCCACGATGAGTCACAACATGGCAGAGGGCGAGTGAGTGTACATGAGACAGAGAAGAAATCAAGCCAAATTTGTAACCTACCCACTCTGAGAGTTGCGGACTATTCCAGAGGGCATTGCCCCATGGCCCAGTTACCAATCAAAGTCCCACTCGCCAATACCCATTATATTGGTAATTAAATTTAAGTGTGAGTTTTAGAGGGATGTTCAAACCATAGCATGCATGCAGAACAGTCGGGTACAATAGAACACATGTTCAGAGGCCCTGAGGTAGGCATGAACTGAGTGCGTTAGAGGGACCATAAGACCACGCTAGGACTAGAGGGAGGGCGTGGTTGAGGGGAGTATGAGAACTGAGTTTGCAGGTGGGGGAGGGGTGGCTAGACTTGTCAGGGATCTGGAACACTGCAAAGTCTATCTCTTAGTCTGAGACAGTTACTCTGGTGTTCAAGATAATAATAGCTGGGAAGGAGGAGGGAGGCGGCAGCAGAAAGACCATTCAACAGAGTAGAACAATGGCCCATACAAGCAAGGACCGCAGCTAGCCTCAGGCGGAGTGACAGAGAGGGAAGACATGTTCTTATATTCTACACATACCTTGCAGGTAGACAGCAGTAATTACCAGCAGGTCAAATGCGGGTTATGGAAGTATTCAGGAGGGACCTCACGTTTTCACCCTGAACCTGCTGGATCAGCTTCAGGGGAGTTCTTACTCTACCGGATTATGATTTCCTGGCCATGTGTCTGTCCCCTCCTCTGGACTCTGAGATTCCTGGGGTCAGGAGCTTTGCTCTAACATCAGGTGCAGGGCCTGGCTGACAGGCCAGTACATCCTGAATTGATGAAGGGATAAAAGGAAACAGACAGTGGGACAGAGGATGGATGTGTGGATACAGATGGAAAGGAAGTGAACAAATCGGAAGGAAGGAAGCAGAGGATGAGCCCCATGTGCTGTGTACCTTGAGCTAGTGTCTTCATCTCCAAGCCTCCCTGCCTTCACTATGAGGAATCCCTGTCCTGATCCCCTCACAGAGGATGATGGGATCTATTTAGACTGGGCACTTTAAGGACATTTCAAATGCTATAGTGAGGGCTGGAGACATGGCAGAGGGACTAAGGGCACTGGTTGCTCTTGCAGAGGACTAGGTTTAGTTCTCAGTATCTACATCGTGTGGCACATAGCCACCTCTAAGTCTGGTTCTTGGAGTTCTGACGCCCTCTTCTGGCCATCATGTGCACCTGCACACCTGTGATGCACATAGAGACAAGCAGGCTCTCATACACCTAAGAATAAATTTTAAAAACGTAAAGGCATAGTGACGTAGGATGACACTATGTTCTTACTAACGTAGCAAGCCACTTCACCTCCTCCTGCTTCTCATCCCCATCTATGACAATGATATGAAAAAGGTATTCTTCCATGATATTCAGTTGATCCTTGGGTACCTTCCTCTAGAACCTGGAGGAAGTCTCCAGACTACAGAGTAGCCAGCAAAACAGCTCTCCCAAGCCAAGTCAGAGCCTAAGTGTTCACTGACACCATCTCGGGCATGGAAGTCTTTCCTCCCAGAGACCCTGCTCACTGTTGTCCCACCTCCCTTTTGCCTTTGGCTTTGTTCTGAAAATGCAAACACAAAAATATCATTTAATTAATAGCACCATGTGTGAGAAATTCCATGGCCTCTCTAACTCAATGAGCATCTCCTTTCTCATAATATCTCCTTTTAAATAAATTCTATCCTAACACTCAGGGGGCTGATGAAGGAGAGTTATGAATCTGGGGCCAGTCTGGGCTACACAGGAGTCCCAGGCTAGCCTGGGCTACAAGAGAAACAAACTTTTTCTACAATAGTGATGCATGTTTATTGTCTCTACAGAAAGTGAAATTCTAGCTACATAGAATCTCTAATACTGAAGTTGGAAGCCTCTCAATCTGATAGTATGATTTAATATTGATAAGGATCTTTGTGTTAATTTCTTCTTTATTTCATTTTTCCCTTTATTGGAAATAGATTATTTTCTCATATATTATATCCTGATTATAGTTTCCCCTCCTTGTACTCCTCCCAGTTCCTCCCCACTTCCCGTTCCCTCTGGATCTACCCCCTTTCTGTCTCTCATTAGTAAGGAACCGATAACAACAAAACATGACAAAATATAATAAGGTGAAGCAAAAGCCATCCTATTGAAGTTGGACAAGGAAACCCAACAGAAGGAAAAGAGTCCCAAGAGCAGGCACAAGAGTCAAACACTGACAGAGACACACTCATTCTCACATTCAGGAGACCCATAAAAACACTAAGCTGAAAGCTATAGTATATACCCAGAGGACCTGATGCAGACCCATGTAGGCCCTGTGCTTCTGCTTCTGTCTCTGTGAGCTCATATGCACCTTGTGTAGTTGATTCAGAGGGCCTTGTTCTCCTGATTCCCTCTGGCTCTTACACTCTTTGTGCCTTCTCTTCCACAGGGCTCCCTGATGGAGACATCCCATTTAGACTCTTTCTCTATATAGTCTGTCTGTGGATCTCTGCATCTGTTCCCATCTTCTGCCAGAGGAAGCCTCTCTGATGATGAATGGATAAGGCCCTGATCTATGAGTATAGCAGAATATCATTAGGAGTCATTTTATTGATGTGATTTTTTTAGACCACTAGTGTTTGGTTTTACCCTAGGTCTCTGGGCTATCTAGTTTCTTGTTCTTGTTTACTCAAACAATGTCAGGTATGGGTTTCAACTCCTTGAGTGGACCGTAAGTCAAATCAGACATTGATTGGTTACTCCCATAATTTCTATGCCACCATTGTGCTAGCATATTTTGCAAGCAGGACAAATTGTAGATCAAAGGTTTTGTGGCTGGGTTGGTGTTTATGTTTCTCTTTTGGTAGTGTGCAGAATACCTTCCCACACCATAACTAGAATGTAGAGGTAAAGGATCCTTGTAGACATCAGCTCGATTTCTCCATGTTCAATGAGTTGTCTGGGTATTGTCCTTGGCAATGGGGCCAGGCTGTCAGTTCTCAGAAAACAATCCACCATTGTCTTTGGAATAGCCTGGGTTGTTTGGGGATTTCTATGAGACACCCTTAGCCAACAACTCAATTGAATGTAACCCAGTCCTGTTTTGGGATATTTGATCACAGTGTGTGAAGATGTCTCTGTTTTACCTCACCTGCCTAAGTCACCTTTTGATTGGATTAATAAAGAACTGAATGGCTAATAGCTAGGCAGGAGATGATAGGCAGGACTTCCAGGGAGAGAGAGGAACTGGGGGAAGAATCAGAAAGGCAGAAATTAGCCAACCAGATGCAAAAGTAGGATGTACTGTACTGAGGAGAGGTAATGAGCCACATGACAGAATGTAGATTAATATAAACATGTTAATTTAAGTTTTAAGAGCTAGTTGGGAACAAGCCTAAGCTAAGGCCAAGCTTTCATACTTAATAAGAAGTCTCTGTGTCATTGTTTGGGAGCTGACAGTCCAAAGAAAGACCTGTTACATTGACAGATTACACTTGGCTACTTCCTGTCAAGTGGTTGCTGGCTCTGCCTCCTGACCCAAGGCTGATTTTATTAATACAGTCTGGGTTTCACAGTGCGATCTGCCAAATGTAGGCAGAGATGTGAGGAGTGGGCAGGGAGGGCAGCAGCTGCTGGTGTTCTGGTGCAGAGCTAGGGATAAACTGGGAGACTGGATTTGTAGGGAAGGAGGAAGCAGTGAGGGTCTCCTCTTGGCTCACCTGCTTCCGTGGCCTGCACAGTAGGTGTGTTCCCAGTGAATGCCTGCTGGTGTTGGAGGCTGGGATGAGCTGGGGGAAGGAAAACTGGGAGGTAGGGAGATCTCTGTGATGATCCCTTGGGGGTGGGGTTAGACAGGAAAGGGAGACCACAGCAGGTGTTCTGCTACAGGGCTAGGAATGAGACTGGGGTGATTGGATCTGGGGTAACAAAGGGAAAGAAATGGGTCTGCCTTCAGCCTACTTGTTAATTTCTTGTTAAAAATAGAAGCACTGGGCCTGTGAGATGACTCAAGGGGTGTAGTTGCCTACCACCCCACTGACAGCCTGAGTTCAATCCTTGGGACCCACACAGTGGAAGGAGAGTCAACTCTTACAACTTGTCCTCTGACCACCACACACATTTGTATGCACACCATAAATAAATAACTAGATTGATTGATCAATTAATTAATATAAAAATTTTAAATAGAACCACATGGGCCACTGAAGTGGCTAGGTGGGAAAGGTGCTTACCACACATGCCTCACAGCCTGAGTTCAATCCCCAAACCAGTATAAAGGTAGACAGAGAAAACCAGTCCCAAAAGTTGTTCTCTGACCTCCACACATGTACTGTGGGCACCCACAGTCACACATGTGACATACATGTACAAAATAATAATCAAGTTTTAAGCATTAAAAAAAAAAGATCACACATGCATTGTGTGTGTTTTATGGACACATGCGTAAAAAGGCTTGCCAAAATGTTGCTAATATTTCTCTGATAGTTGAGAAAAATATTTGCTTTTTTCTTTTTCCTCTTCTTGAGTTTTCAAATGTAAACATGTTTCTTATGAAAAGGGGAAATTGGTGTTTCAAACATCATGCGTAGATTAAACTTTTAATGAACACAGATTTTCTTTCTTGGTCATTTAGTTTTAACCAAGATTGACAACTACACCGTGCTGGATTGTTCCCTGCTCAGTCCTCCGGAAGTCACTGAGAACCACCTTGACTTGAATTTGAAGGTAACTATCGTTCTAGAGCACCCTCCTGGCTATGGAGAACATGTGGGAGAACAAAAGTTACGTACGGAAGAAAACGTACTTGTATGCTCTTCAAGCAATTTCACTTCCTATAGCGCCTGCCTCATGTTTACACCTTTTCAAAAGACCCCTGAGCCCTCTCTTGGTGGGCACATGACTGTTGTCCTTGCCCTACTTCTATCTGTCTTCTTAGTGAAAAATATCAAGACATTTTGCCTCTTCCCTCCTGGAAAAGACTTGAGGCTAGGAGCCTGCAAGTAGAACAACCCGCATATTAGAAGCGAGCACATCAGGAGGCGCTGAGGAGACAGCTCAGTGTGTAGAGTGCCTGCTACCCAAGTGTGAGGACCTGGGTTCAGTCTCCTAAAGCCCATGTGGAAAAGGCCAGGCATACGGGGATGCACTGGGAGGCAGAGGTAGGACGATCCCTGGGGCCCGCTGGCCAGCCAGCTAGGTGAATCCTCAATTTCCGGGTTCAATGAGAGACACTGACTCAAAAAATAAGGTGGAGAGTGATTAGAGAAGACATTCAACATCAGCCTCTGGACTACACATGCACACATGCAATTGTGTATGAAAAGGTTTATGTTTCCTTCTTTCACAGTCTTTCAAATCAGTTAAGACAGTACATTCAAATAATGCCCAATACCTAACAAGACCACCTAACCATGTCTCAAAAATGTTTCAATAAGCCGTTTGGAGTCTGTGTCTCTCAGCGTACTTCTGTGGCTTCCCAGTTTTTCATCAGTCACATATCTTAAAGGTCCAGAGCTGGGCCTCTGGAGGCTAGTTCATGAGCTATTCAGAGGTGTGCCTTACCTGACTGGACCTCCCTCCTAAGAGAAGTTCTAGCTCGGAGCTTCTCCAGGAATAACACCGGAGAGTGAACAGATACATGTAGATGTGCTGAAGAATCTCCAGAGCTCTGGGCTGGAGGGATGGTTCAGCTGTTGAGTACATACTGCTCCAGAGTTCTAGGCTGGATGCATCACTCAGCTGTTGAGTATACCCTGCTCCAGAGCTCTGGGCTGGATGAATCACTCCGCTGTTGAGTACATGCTGCTCCAGAGCTCTGGGATGGAGGGATGGCTCAGCTGTTGAGTACATACTGCTCCAGAGCTCTGGGATGGAGGGATGGCTCAGCTGTTGAGTACATGCTGCTCCAGAGCTCTGGGCTGGAGGGATGGCTCAGCTGTTGAGATGGCTCAGTTGTTGAGTACATATTGCTCTTACAGAGGACTTGAGTTCTGTTCCCAGCACCCATGCCAGGTGGCTCAAAACCACCTGTAAGAGTTCCAGGAGATCCAATGCCTCTGACCTTTGAGGGCACCTGCACTCACATGTACATACCCACACACATACATATTGTTGAAAATATTTTTTAATCGCAGAGCTTTGAAACATAGCCAAGGAGCCTAAAGACCTTATGCTTTTCTCCTTACCAAGGAGTGTCTGGGATTTTCTTTATCTGGACTTGAGAGGTCCCGGCTTCTTTGTGATACATTTGCATTTTCACCTCATAATTGGTCTTCATTTCTGCTTCCCACAGGGTGCATTCTACCCACTGGAAAGCCTCGTTGACCCTCCCTTCCTACCAGCCCCCTTTGAGCTTCCAGAGAACAGGGACTCCATGCTCTTCATTGGCATCTCCGAGTATTTCTTTAAATCTGCATCCTTTGCACACTTTGTAACTGGGGCTCTTGAGGTCACACTGTCCACCAAGGAGGTAAGTAAAGCCTTGGGGTGATGGCTGTGCCCACCGTCTTTAGTCTTTCTTTTTAAAGTGTCCTGTTGTGAACTTTATGTCACAGTTTTGATTCCTGGGCCTTTTTATACCATCACTCCCAAAAAAGATAATGAATGAAGTATTATGGAATGGGTGCTGTTATTATTTTGGGGAGGGGGTTGTTGGATTTCCAGTTCTTCTAATTTAGTCTTCTTCATGATATCTAGTCACTATTCTAGAATGATCTTAACTAATAGAAGGACATCTATCTCTCTACCATTTATCATCTGTGACCTTTGGTCAGTTCAACCTACTTGGATTGTGTTGATTTCCTCATCTGAGAAAGAGGTCTGAGGTCCCACACTCTTAGAGTCATAATGGTCACTAAAGGGTTTAAACATATACGACTTCCAGAAAAATCTCAGTATAGAGTAAGTGCTCTGCAACTGTTGCTTCTGGGTTATATCACCACCACCACCACCATCACTACCACTACCACCACCACCAACAACAACAACAACAACACCATCACCACCATCACACCAACCACCATCACCCCAACCACCACCACCCCAACCACTACCATTACCACCACCACCACTACCTCCACCACCACCACCACCATCATCATCACCACCACCACCTCCTCCACCAGCACCAGCACCACCATCACCTCTCTTTTTATCACAAGAACACCCTCTCTGGCTAGTCAGCAAACAGCATCCATTTTATGTATTTTCTAAATGATTTATTTTATTTTGTGTACATTGGTGTTTTGCCTGCATGTATGCCTGTGTGATAGTGTTCAATCCCCTGCAACTGGAGTTATAGACAGTTGTGAACTGCCACATGGGTGCTGGGAATTGAACCCAGGTCCTCTGGAAGAGCAATCAATGCTCTTAACCACGGAGCTGTCTCTCCATTCCCTAAAAGCACCCATTTTAAATCTTCACTTTCTGGCCATCATAATTGTACACATTACTGTGAACCTTACATTCAGCATAGTGAGGACAGCAACACCAGCTGTCTTAGACTTGAAAAAAATGCTCACCAAGTAAATTACTTAAGCAACTTACGTTTTGGGGAGCTCTGAAAATGAGAAGAATAACTTGAGACTTACTGCTAGTGACTGTAGAATGTTTGCATAAAGATTGTGCATATATGAGACAGTGTTCTCCAGTGAAGAAGGGATTTCTCTAAAGGACTGTGACTTTGGGCAAGTCTCTTGCCTTTATAAAATGAGGTTACCTAAACATTTTGTGGCTCCACCTCTTTACAGGTCACATTAGAGAGAATTCTACATTTTACCCGAAAAGACAACCCAGACAAAATGTTGCAGTGAGGTACAGAGAGATTGCTCAGTGGTTAAGGGCACTTGGCTGTTCATCCAGAGAACCTGGGTTCAATTCCCAGCACCCACATGGTGGCTCACAACCATCTATGACTGTAGTTCCATGGGATCCAGTGTCCTCTTATGGTGTGCAAATGTACATGCAGACAAAACGCCCATAAATATATATATATATATATATATATATATATATATATATATATATATATATATATATATATTACATGAAAAAATAAATCTTTTCTAAAAGTCTTGCAGTGACGTAGTGTTTCTTTTCTGTAGATTTCCAACTATTTCAATCAAAATACTCAAGGAATTGGCAGTGTGCTCTCCAAGGTGAGTGCTCAAGTTCTGCTCCTCAGTGATGGATGTACTGTCACTGAAGTCACTTCCAGGAGACTCTTGGATTTTCTACATTCTCTTTTGATCCAAGCATAAGTTAATCCATCTTTCTGTTCTTTTTTATTTCTTTTCCATTCTCTCTTCCTTTCCTGCTTCTCTTCTCTTCCTCCTCTCTCTCCTTCCTCCTCCTCTTTCATTTCTTGACAATGTTTCAATATATAAAATGGGTAAACTTGCAATCCTCCTGCCTCAGCCTCCCATGTACTGGAATTAAAGGGATATAAAGGTATATGCCATCATACTTGGCTATCTTTCCATCCTACAAGATTTTTTCTTCCTAATTAAATATCCAGAAATATTTCCTAAATAAAGTCCATTAAAATATAACTAAAAGTATTGTAAGTTTGTAAAAAAAAAATCAATCTGGAAAATTCCACCACCCTTAAAATAATTCACTTAAATATAGAAATTACTGGCTTGAATGGAAGATTTAATCCTTAAGTTACTTACTTACTTACTTACTTACTTACTTACTTACTTTATTTATTTATTTATTTATTTATTTATTTATTTATTTATTTATTTATAGGTAAGGTCTCACTATGTAGTGCAGGCTGGTCTGGAACTCAATATTTAACCCAGGCTGGTCTTTAATTTTTGATCCTCCTCAGTCATTTTTTCAAGTACTGGGATTACACGTGACTTTAGTAAAACAACTATTAATATCACCCCTTCATAGCGTTCCAGGTATCATACACAATGGGCCTATAGGCTCAAGTTTGCCTCAGAAGACCAAGATGCTCCAGAGAAAGGCACTCAAAGCAGATAGATCTTGTCTTGAAGTTCAGTTCTACAGTTTATTCTGTGAGAAATATGAGAAAAGCACTTAGCCTGTCCACAACTCAACCTTCATTATAGAACAGCACTCCTCACGGGTGGTGGTGGCACACGCCTTTAATCCCAGCACTTGGGAGGCAGAGTCAGGCAGATCTCTGAGTTCAAAGTCAGCCTGATCTACAGAGTGAGTTCCAGGACATCCAGGACTACACAGAGAAACCCTGTCTCAAAAACAACTAAATAAATAAATGATAAAAACAAAACAGCACTACTGATAGAACCTGCCTTGGAGTTTTACAAAGAGTAGATAAGAGACGATAAAGTCCCTGGTTGTGTGGCTGGCACAGAGGATGTATTCAGCAAACGCACGTTGTTATTCCTAGTAAGAGGTACTTTCTGTTCTAACTGCATGATGCAAGATTTCCTTAGCACAAGCCACTCCAGGTTTGTGGTTTCTGCTCCTCAGGCCCTGACTCTCTGTCTCTGTTTCTCTCCTGGAATGGGACAGATTGCAGAGATCTACATCTTATCCCAGCCGTTCATGCTGCAGATCATGGCCACAGGGCCGCCTGTGATCAACTTACACCCAAACAATTTCAGCCTGGAGTTCCCAGCTGCTGTCATCATGCTCACTCAACTGGAGAACTCCACCATCGAGCACATTGTCTCCATGGACTTTGTGAGTCTGGGGTTATGGGGGGCAGCCTCTGGGCACCAAGTCCGTTCCTGCTGGGAATCACTGGCCAGCAGCCTCTAGATGTTTGGGGTGAAGGGTGATTCCTAAATTAAGTAGACACTGGGACTGTCTAAAACAGACCCACCTGCCCATATGTGGAAGCAGCATATATGGAGACAGAAGAGCTCATGAGCCTGTGTGTAAAATATCTCACCAACCGCTACTTCCCATGCTCTCTTCCACTTACATTAGAGAGCTGTAATCAAGTCAATTTCCCCTGATCAATTAAAGCTAAAAACAGTACAATGAAGTCAAACAAAATCACACACATGATTAGGGGAAGCAAAGCTCAAGAGGGGCTGGGGCTATGGCTCAGTGGTAGACTGTTGGCCTAGCATGCGTAAGACCTGGGTCTAATCCACAGCACTGCCAGAAAACGAATTTAAAAGAAGCACTCAAGCAAGAAATCTTTACACTTAGCTTCTTTCCCTGCAAGACAGTTTTCTCTCCATGTGGTCCACTCTGGCCTTGAACTCATTCCTCCTCCTTCCTCAACCTTCCAAGTGCTAGAATACGCTCACAGGCTGCTGGCCCAGAGGCAGAGATGTTTCTTACCAGGATCTTTTGAATAAGAGGGAACACTGGGTCTGTGGTGTCTCCGTTATACTCTGAGAGTGGAGCTGTTACACTTGTGGTCCAGATGGACAGTCACTCACTGCAGTAACAAGGTTTTTTTTGTCTTCAGATTGCTAGTACCAGTGTTGGCCTGGCTATTTTGGGACAAAAACTGATCTGCTCCTTGTCTCTGAACAGGTAAGATCAATGGATTTGACTGTTGGAAACCTTGGTAACGAATGAGTGAACATTCCCCAAAGACAAAGTGACCATTGAGAAAACAAACACTTTACCACTATGGGGCTGTGAGTCAGCTTGGTACTCTGCCTCTAAGAGAACAGATTATTTCAAAAGTTGAACTCAGGAAAGGAAAATTGCACTTCTGTTTTTCTCCTTCTTCTGACGAGAGCAACAGTAAGATAAACTAAGAAGAAGGTCATTGTAAAGACAATTCTATCAGCACCCATTCTAGTCATGACTACAGTTCCTCTTGGTAACTCGAGGAGGAGTATGCCGAATGGGGATGTTGTGAGAAGAGGGGTGCACGGGGATGTTCAGGTGCAGTGTACATCTTTAGAGATTAAGGGATCAGGTTTCAAATCCCTTCTCATTGGCCTTATGGCCACGGTCAAGTCTTGTCTTAGTTAGGGCTACTATTACTGTGATAAAACAGCGTAACCAAAAGCAACTTGGGGAGGAAAGGGTTCATTTGGCTTCCATATCCTAAGTTACAGTTCACTGAGGGAAGCCAAGGCAGGAACTCAAACAGGGCAGGAACCACAGAGGGGTGCTGCTTACTGGTTTGCTCAGCCTGCTTTCTTATAGAACCCAGGACCACCAGATAGGTTGGTACCACCCAAAATGGGCTGGGCCCTCCTACACCAATCACTAACTAAGAAAATGCTCTACACATTTGCTTACAACCTGATCTTACAGGTCTCCGCTTCTCAGATAACTCTAGCTTGTCAAGTTGACATAAAACTAGTCAGTACAAGTCTACTAACCATTTCCACTTTAAGTCTCAGTTTCCTGATGTGTAAGATAGTAGAACTGGGGGCTGGAGAGATGGCTCAGTGGTTAAGAGCACTGACTGCTCTTCCAAAGGTCCTGAGTTCAATTCCCAGCAACACATGGTGGCTCATAACCATCTATAATGAGATCTAATGCCCTCTTCTGGCATGCAGGCATACATGCAGACAGAACACTGTGTACATAATAAAAAAATAAATCTAAAAAAAAAAAGGATAGTAGAACTGGACTGATCCAGCACCCTCCTCTGACAACTGGGTCTTATAACTAGAACACAGAATTTAACAAGATCTTGTCCCATGACCTAGCTAGTCTCAGAAGAGGTGGTAAGGTGTGAAGGGACATGAACAGTTCCCACATACAGGTCACTAAACACCATCTTCAAAGTCCGCTGTCACTCAAGGGGGGGTTTACAGATGAATTGGCCCAGACTAAACTCGTGGAAGAAGAGGAGGCAACAAAAGCAGTCAGAAAAGAACTGAGAAACCAAAAGGAGAAAGTCGGCCCACCTTCCTAAGGCCACCTAATGGCTAGGCACAGGACTGCAGTAACACAGAAAACTCTTACAATAAAATCGTGTTCAGTAGAAAAAGAATACAAAACTGCATAAATACAATGACCAATTGTACAACGCAAAGCTTCATACCTAGACAGAAAACTAGATCAGCCATCACACCCTCAAAAAAAATCAGGATCCAAGATTATGAGATTGGGAGATTGGAGTTTTTCATTAAAATAGTCATTATGCTATACTGTTTTACAATAAGAGGAACCCAGTTGGAAAGGGTACCTGTAGAATAGGCTCACACAAAGAAAAGGCTTCTTTACTCAAACTTACCCTCCAAGTACAGCTGACTTCTCAGAAGGGTCCAGAGTTCACCAGAGTTAGTGACCAAGGACAATACATTCAAGTACCTTGAAATAAGACCCTAAAGAAATACAATCCAGGGGGTTGGGGATTTAGTTCAGTGGAAGAGCACTTGCCTAGCAAGTACAAGGCCCTGGGTTCAGTCCTCAGCTCCAGGGGGAAAAAAAGAAAGAAAGAAAGAAAAGAAAAGAAATATAATCCAGAATTTATTATACTAAGTTTATACCAACAATAATTTCAAAACAATTATTATAATTATTATAATTTCAAAAACAATTATTGTGGAACAAGGGCCTCCAAACACAACACTCTCAATTGTCTGGAGACCCCAAGGTGGCCCTTTTTCTAGGGAGTCAGGCAGATAATACCGAGAGCCATAATGGGTGACTTTCAAGGTGGCAGTTCTGAGAGGCCAGTGGATGGAGAGCAGAGAGCAGGCGAATGAAGAGGTAAAGATTCTTCAGCATCTGCGTGGACCAAAATGAAGGCGGGAGAAAATTCAGACTGAACTGCTTCAGCATGGGACTGTGAGCACAGGTTAAGACCTGAGGTGACAGGGACAGAGAAGAGAGGGCAGGTGAGAAAAAGAGGCTGGAGACCTGACTGATGGCAGGGGCAGGATGAGACTGCTGACTTTGGCAACGGGTGCTCGGATAAGGTAAACAGTGCCCGGATTTGACAGGTCTCCATGTTCCTGGCAGATTCCAAAGGAAGGATTCCATAATGGTGGTTATTTCAAGCTTGGTCAGGGGGACTGGGCTGGTTGCTTTGCTCCCATGGATCCTGGCCTCTCTGACACCTCCTAGCAACCAAGAGAGCCAGGAGCCAGTGTTATGGTTACTTAAGGGAATGATTTTTAAAATGGATTTTAACCCACTAAATTCATACCATCCCATTTTCCAGCTTCCTGTAGTCCTGAGATTACTCTGCCCTCGTGATGATGAACACTGAAATTAGGGCTCCTGCCTCGTCACTCAGTGCCGTAGGTCTCCCTGAGATTCGCAGATTGGGAGGTTCCACTGCCCTGATGTCTTAGTCAAACCTGGGTAGAAAGGAAAATGCAGCTCTCCTACTTCAGGAATTATGAAGAAGGGCAGAGAAGGTGTCTCAGTGGGAAAAGTGCTTACTGAATACGCATGAGGACCTGAGTTTGAATCTCAGCCACCCTTGTGGGCATGGTGGTACACAGTTAACCTCAGGGCTGAGGGGCAGAAACAGGCAGATTCTGGGGACTTGCTGCAACCAGACTAGCTAAAACAATGAGTTCCAAGGTCAGTGGAAGACTTTGTCTCAAATAAATAGATGGATAATTAGATAGGTGATAGATAGATGATAGATAGATAGATAGATACATAGATACATAGATAGATAGATAGATAGATAGATAGATAGATAGATAGATAGATAGATAGATAGATAAGTAAAATAGAGAATGATTGAGGAAGACATGTGGCATGGACTTCTGGCCTTCACAGGTGCACACACAGATGAGCATATCACACACACACACACACACACACACACACACACACACAAGATTTTTTAAAAATTATGAAGAATGTCAGAGTAGAAACTAAGGAGTCTGAAGGTGGCTCCTGCAGAAGATGCTGTATTAAACTCAGGCACTGAGCCGGCTTGGGCAAGGTTTGTGGGTCAGGCCTCACTTGGCCACCCAACCAGAGAACAGCTTAGCAAGGCTGCCCAGGCTGTGCTGCAAGGCGGTCTTGTCCTCAGCAGTGGGAGCGGCAGCCCCGCCCCCCACATCCCTGCCCCGCCTCCACTCCAGTCTGCCTTTCAGGCCGAGCTGGTTTAGTCTGTGGCCAACGTCACTGAGAGTCATCCGGAAAGGCGAGGCGTGATTGGGAATCCATGAGACAGACATCAAAGGGGAGGAACCAGGCAATACAGTGTCTCCAAACTCCCAGCATACCGTGGCCTTCTGACCAACCCTGGCTGAGCTGCTTGGCATTGGCTGTGAGAGATACAGACATCACAAACCTGAGGGGGTGTGATTACGATGAGTTAGAGAGCATGCCTAGCTGTGTTTAGGTCCCAGCACTGCCATTGATCAGCTGTGTAGTCTCAGGCAAGTTACTTAACCTCTCTGGATCTCTAGTTCCTTCTCCATAAAATGATGCTCTTATAAAACCTGCTTTAGGAGGTTGTGACATTGTGAGTCCATAATATGTGTCTATTTGCTGCTCAAAGCGTTCTCTTTCTCTCTCTCTCTCTGTCTCTGTCTCTCTCTCTCTCTCTCTCTCTCTCTCTCTCTCTCTCTCTCTCTGTCTCTCTCTCTCTCTCTCTCCCCCAGTCTGTCTCTGTCTCTCTCTCTCTGCTAGGGATCAAACTCAAGGCTTTGCATGTTAAACAAGTGTTCTAACACTCAGCTACCCCTTTAGCCCCTACAAAAATCATTTCATGAGTGTCCCTGTTGAGAACCCCTCACTCCTCTGTGGGAGACACCATCCTCTACTCCTCTTTATTGCTGAGCTTTAAAGCTCCCTCCCGAGTCCCTCACTCAGCACAGCACCCACTTTACTTGACTTCAATCTTTTTTTCTTTTGTTCTTCTCTTATACATTACATCGGGACAGCAATTTCCTCCCCCTCCACTCTTCCCAGTCACTCCCCCACCTCCTTTTCCCCCCAGATACATTCCTCCTCTGTTTCCGAGAGAGAGAGAGAGAGAGAGAGAGAGAGAGAGAGAGAGAGAGAGAGAGAGAGAGAGAGAAGACCTCACAGGGATATCCACTGAACACAGCCTAACAAGTTACAATAAGATAAGGCACAAACCCTCATATCATATCGTGACTGGACGAGGCAACCCAGTAGGAGGAAAAGGGCCACAAGAGGGAGCCCACACCTGCCTGGATGGCCAGGAACCAGAGGCAGGACAGCCCAGAGACCCAGCATAGAACCAAACATGTCACTTAAATCTCACAGCCCCATTTCATGACCTAACACCCATGCTCAGTAATTCTGTAGGATAAGTGAGCACCTAGAGGTGACTTGATGGTCCCTGAGCTTAGATAACTTACCCTCAAGGTCACAGAGCTGCCCAGTGATTGGACCAGAACCTATTTCAAAGCCGTGGGTGTTTAACTACAGTGTTATCTTGCCTTTGGCATAGGGAAGAGCTAAGACACAGAAAATGGCACCTAGGCCTGGGACTTAGGAAATAAATATGGTTGTCTGGATCAAGACACCCGTGAACCTGGTGTCATGCAAAACTGAAAGAGACAATAAATCATTTCTCAATACTAAGCGCTGAAAGGCGAAAGAGAAGACGTGGAACCGAGTGT